AGTCGATACAGACAACGCAAGGTGTTGATAACTTTTTTGCTTACTTCCGTGACTTGCGGCCGCCAACTCAGACTGCTGTCAATGATAAGTCCTAGATTTTTCACAGTAGCTGAATAAGGTATGACAGCATTATTAAAATTTACAGGTGGCAGTGAATTAAAATCCAATGTAGATAAGTCAGAGTTTAGCTCAGTGATCGCATCTTCGATATCGTTAACATCAGACTGAGCATATATTTGTAAGTCATCGGCATAGAGATGGTACGTGCCGCGAATGTGAGATGTAATGAGATTTATAAAAATTGAAAACAAAAGAGGTGAGAGAATTCCGCCTTGAGGAACGCCAGCAACCAGCGTGCACCAGTCAGAAATAACTGGACCCACGCGAACAGCCTGCTGACGTCCCTGAAGATAGGATGCGAACCATTCCCGCGCTGATGAGGAGAAACCAATGTGAGAAAGTATTGTAAGAAGGATGTCATGATCAACAGCATTAAAAGCGTTTGAGAAATCTATTAAAACTAACACAGTTAATTTTGACTCCTCCATACCTATACGTAAATCTTCCGTAACTTTAAGCAGGGCTGTTGTTGTACTATGTCCTGGCCTGAAACCTGATTGATAGCTACTTAAAAAGTTATTTTTAAAAACGTAGTCAGAGATTTGCCTGTGAGCAACAGCTTCAAGTACTTTTGATAAAAAAGGTAGAATAGAGATAGGACGAAAGTGAGAAACAGAACTAGGATTATTTATTTTTGGAAGTGGGAGAACAAAAGCATTTCGCCATAGTGAAGGGAAAACCCCAGTATCTAATGAAAAATTTACTATGTGGGTAAGTACTGGTAAGACATAATCAAGGATGAGATTGATCATGATTCTGCTCACATCATCAGAGCCTACTGCGGCGGACTTGATGGAAGAAATTGACTTTTTTATATCCTCATCAGTAACGGGAGAAAAATTGAAAGAGCTTTTGTAAAATTTTGGAAGAGAATTAACATGGGCAATAGTAGTAGATTTAATTGACGAATGCAGTTGTGGTGCAGTAGAAAAGTATGTATTAAGTTGATTAACAGAGAATATTGAAGGATCAAAGTTAGAAGCAGGTTTACCTATCCCGATTGATTTTAAAAATTTCCACGAATCAGCCATAGAAGCGTTAAGGATATTTCGATGAATATAACGGCGTTTAGCGGCCCGCACCATCTGATTACACCGATTCCTAGCGGCTTTGAATCGAGTCCAGTTAACAGTACACCGATTACTCTTATATTTACTAAATTCTCGATCTCGCTTTGCCATAGCCCTGCGGATATCCTCAGTAATCCACGGCGCAGGAGATCGTTTCAGTCTGACTTTATGTGGAGGAGCGTGTTTATCAAACAACTTCTGTATATTTGAATTAAAAAGAGCTACTTTTTCGTCAACACTCTCTACGCTGTAAGTATCACTCCAATCTATACTACAAGCATCTTGCTGAAGTTCTTCAACATTAAGTCTCGCTAGATTACGCAGATGCACCATCACATGATTGACCTTAGGACATTTAATCCTGTAAGAAATATACAGTAAATCGTGCCGCGAAAACCCAGGGGCGGAGAGTTGACCATGGCCAACGACATGGTCTACAGAAGCGACCACTATTAAATCTATTAAAGAATCAGCAGTATCAAGATTGTGGTGTGTGGGGTCGAGAGGAAGAAGTGACAAATTAAAGGAGTTCATAACTGTATACAATTCACGTGACCTCGCAGAGTTACAAAGAATATCGGTATTGAAGTCTCCCATTATAATAAAGTGCTGATAATCAGAGCCGATAGAAAAAAGAGCCGATTCAAGGTCACAAAAATAATTAACTCCTGGTGGACAGTAAATTGCACCGAGAACAGTCTTAGTCCCACTGATGGTAATCTCCAAGAACATGTATTCTATTGTACCAGAATAAACAGAAGAAGAAGCACATAATTGTTTATAGGGTATACCATTACGTAAGTATACCGCTACTCCACCACCTCTTTTGCCCGTACGATCATTTCTTAAGAGGACAAAACCAGGTATTCCAAAGGAGGTAGACGGTAAGGTAGGTTTTAACCAGCTTTCCGAAACAAGTATCGCAGAAATAGACTGATTATGAAAAGTATCAACAAGTTCATTATAATGTTGCGGAATGCTCTGAGCGTTAATGTAACAAACGTTAAAGTTATTAGTCAAACCATGAAACTTTTGAGTAAGCAGATAACGAAGAGTAGTAGGTTCCGAAAAAGAGTCATTTAGTGAAAAAAAAGAAGAATCTGAATCAACAGAGAGAAATAGTTCATTGGTATCAGAATCTGTCATAACATATGATTATACTTATGATATTGTATATATATTATTTATATAAAGTATATATATATATATATATATATATATATATATATATATATATATATATATAGTCTAAAAAAAATAAAAAAAAACCCTATTAACTGATATTTGCACTGCAAACAAACGCGCCGGTAAACTGTTTACAAAAAGAAAAATTAAAATATTACACGAAAACAACTAGTAATACTTACTACAAGAAAGTATCTAATTTTAATTATTTACAATTGCAGAGACAACAAAAATCATACGTATTGAAAAAAAGGAAAAAAAAACATATGTTAATCACTACGAGAAGTGGTAATTTAAACGAAAAAAAAAAATACTCTAAAGCGTAATTTCACGAAATTTAAGGTTCAGATTAGTCTGTTCTATTACTTGTGTCGCAAACCAGCCTAGTAACCAGTTGCGGAGAACAAAAGGATCGAATACAAAAGCGCTCAGTGACGTACACAGTACACCACAGCAGTAGTAGTAATTAATAAGCCGTCGAAGTGTAAACAAAGTATTACCACTAACCCGAGAATGTTTACTTATTTCTGACTGCTCGTCGGGTTCTTGGCTGCTCGTACGGGAAACTACACTACTAGTTCCTGCCTTCACTTGTTCCGGCTCTTCGTTGCACCCAGCTTTATGAAGATCGCGCAGTAGTGCATCCAGGTCATTAGCGCTAAAGATGTGACGTCGAGACCCGTCAGGCAGTCTAACGCTTATGTTGCCCTCGAATGACCAGACTTTTTTAATTCCAAAATGCTTACGGGCTTGAAGAAATAAGTCTTGCCTGTATTTTGTAAGGAATTCCGATAATTTAAACGAGGTGCCTTTTAACATTGTTTTTTTTAAACCAAACAGCTGAGCGCAGTGACATATCTGTGAAGCGCATTAATATAGGACGAGTATGGTGTAATTTGACCGGGCCAAGTCTGTATGCTGTTCGAAGACAAGATGGTGCTATATCTTTAAGACCTAGATTTTCGTGAAAAATTTTGATCACGACATCGGATAAATCTTCGCCTGGTTTTTCAGGGACACCGCCCATTAAAAGGAATTTCCTGCGATGCCTTGTTTCTATAATGTCAAGCGAGCGACTGACTTCTGCAATTTGCTGGCGAAAAAGGTTAAACATATCCTTGACGTAACTCTGAAAAGCGGTATAGTCCTCGCTGATCCTGTCTACATTGCTACTCTTGGAAGTGCTGGAGTTGAGTTTTGATTCAAAATCTGCCATTTTACGAGTGATGAGCGCTTCCAAAGACTCCTGACTTCTGGAAATATCGGCAATTGTGGACATAGTGACGTATGTAGCAACAAATGTTCGTGTGTAAAAAACTTGGTTCCAGCAGTTTGTGCAGTGCTAAAAAACTAGTGCATAAGAAGGTAAACCTTTACGCGTTGATGCTTAATACTGTATTATATAGAAAAATAATAAAAGTATGGTAAATTACTACTTTTTTAAAATAAATACGTTTTACGAAACGAAACACGTCTGCACTTATTTACACCCACCCGCGGAATATTACGGTAGAACAAAAGCAGCAATGGCAATTGTCAATACAAAAAGTAATAAATGAAAGTTTACAAAGGTAAATATCATAGTGAAGTATTCATCAAGATGTAAATTAGTTAAAACAATGATAATTTGTAAATAATCAACACACCTATGAAATTTTATGCCTTTATTAGTTGAATTACACGTCCTTGACGAGTTTTTACTACTTTTTTTACTATTATGCTGCAGTTCACCATTATAATAACATAAATTCACGTACGACGATCCCCGCGGTCAACTAACTCACAAAATAGTGAATTATGTTCGTCAATCGTCAACATATAATAGCGGTGACAAGCTCACGCGTCTATGCGACTTCTATTGTCTTATTATTATTACGATTTCCGTGGGTAACACACGCCATTTTTATTTTTTACACGGATCTTAGCAAAAAATTTTAACATCATTAACATGGTTCTTTATGTCATTGTCATTGTGACCCCAACTTGTGTCTTTTTATTAATATAAAGATTGAAGATGTAGAAGGTATCTTCGACTAATATGAAATACCAAATATGAAATACCTTATTGTCTAGAACTCGATCGACAGTTCTTACCAATGTTCTTACAAAACCCAAGAACATTACATTTGATTATTATCTACGAGTATATGTACTTAAAATGAATCTGTAGAAAAACTGTGTCTGTAATTTTTATTTTTGGTGTCTGTAGTTTTAAATTTTATTATTCATGATCCACGCAAAATCTGCCGCAGGATCTTCATGTAATTTGTAAAATGTAAATTTGACAATACATAATGTAGTCTTTACAACTGTTATAAATAATACAAAATATGATATATTATGTGTAATTTTACAGTTGAACAATTGAATTAAAATCTGAACTAAAGTTGCAAAGGCATCGTATACGATTTTTAGAACATGCTGATTGGTTCGTTGTTCGTACAGTCAGTGACCATTATGGAAGTTGAAACACTATAAAATCGTATAATAATTTAAAAAATTACGCAAACAAGCCTACGTCATAATACCCGCGTCTTAGTTTATTTGCCGACCATAATACAATACTATTCGTATTCCAATCGATAATATAATAAAGTACTATTTCTAGATCACAGTTTACAGAGATTAAGCAACCGCTCGCTTCTCTTCGTATTCTCGTTCGCGCGCTTGTTTGAGGAAACGTTCGCGCACTGAGCTCGTGTTCTCGCGGAGGTGAGTTAGCAACAATTCTGTGTACTCTTCCGGATGATGCATGTAGTGGAGCACATGCGGTGAATTGTCCCAGCATTTCCAGGTGCACTGTTGGGAAACAATGAACTAAATATAATATAAACTCACGCGTGATGACTGTAAATATTATAATACACCTCACCGGCACGGAAACTTGGCCACTCGTGTATTTGCTGATTATTTGCACTGAAACGTTTTTTAAACAGTAAATTAAGGGTAGATGCATTCAATAAGTGTCTCTAATGGTTTTAGAACATAGAAATTTAATGTTTACTTCACCGAAATTTTTCTTTTCAAGATAACATGTTTTCACTAAAATTAACATCTTTCCATTGTCACTTTAAAAACACTACAAAGTTAAAAATTAAGTCTGTTTCTTTATTGTCTATCAGTTTTAATATCGGGTGTTTCCTCCTCTAGCCCTGATAACCGCTTGCATTCGATCTGGCATGCTTTGAATGATGTTTCTGACATCAACTTGCGGTATGCTGTCCCAAGCGGCCAGCGCTGCATTTCGGAGCTCATTTAGAGTTTGTGGCGGTTTGGAGCTGGACTTTATCTTTCTTTTGAGCATACCCCATACATGCTCAATTGGATTTAAGTCCGGGCTACGAGCTGGCCACTGTAATTTTTGTATTCCAACCTCTTCCAGATATTCCTCTACACAATGTGCGACGTGCGGGCGTGCATTATCGTGCATGAGGAGGAATTGGTCGTGTCCAATGAATCCCGAATAAGGCATTACGTGCTCCTGAAGAACTTCCTCGATGTATCGAGTAGCTGTAAGCCGATTATCGACGATGACCAACTCTGTACGTGCGTCGGAACTTACACCTCCCCATACCATTATTGAGCCTCCATGGAAACTCACAGTTTGGGTGGTGGTAATGGGTAGAAACCTCTCTCCTCTTTTTCTCCACACTCGTTCTCGACCGTCTGGAGCACGTAAAGCTATTCGACACTCATCTGTGAACAACACTCTAGCCCATTGCTCGTGGGTCCAATTGACATGTTCTCTTGCGAACTGAAGTCGGGCTACTCGGTGCTGTCTGAGAAGTTCTGGACCTCGTGCTGGTCTACGAGCCTTTAAATTCACTTCCTCCATTCGTCTTCTCACCGTACGCTCACTAACATTAACGCCTCTTACGATTTGGAGCCGCTGGCGTATCTCAACAGCGGTCAGGTAGCGGTTTCTCAAAATCTCCATAACAATAAAACGATCGTCCCGGGCCGATGTGCACCTTACGCCCCCACTGCCTGGCCTGCGGGTGTAGCGGCCTGTCTCCTGGTATCGTTTCAGTGAATACTGCATTGAGGACCGTGGTACGTTAAGCACAATAGCAACTTCACGCTGTGTCAGCCCTTGGTCAATTAATGCTACTGCTTGTGCAACTTGTGCTGGTGTTAATGGCATTTTTATTGGCTTTAAAGTACCTTTAGTTATTTAATTAAGACACAAGATCACAATAATTGAATAACCTTACAGTAAACTTTTCACAACACACAAATTTAAAATGTGAACTTAGTCGCTCAAATGACCCGATTCAACTAAAAATTAAAGAATTCGTCATGGTGCACTTAAACATAATGAATTACCCTCTTGAACTTGAGGGTAAACATTTTTTGACATACTTGCATAACAAACATTCATCAGAAACACTTAAAGCTTTTGCTATCGCGAGATAACCGCTTGGCCAAGTTTCCGTGCCGGTGAGTAGAAAAGTTGACAGCAACTGGATGTGTTAAGCAGAAGATTGGACTACGTAAGGTACTTAGACGCTGCTATGTCCAACTGTGAAGTTTATGTGGCTGTTGATGACAAATGGATAAAAGATAAATATGTTTAACGTCTGGTGTTAACAGAAAATCCGTCACCATCGTTCTTTATCGTAAGAGGTTATTGAGTGAAGACTTTACAATATTAAAAATTGCATTACTATAGAAAATATTTTTTGCATGCCTTAACCGAAAAGCGCAGAATGTATATTTATACATAAATCCTACGTACTTTTACCGAAACAATGTATTGTAATAAAATTATGTGATTATAAAAATATTAATAATATCTTATCTTGGTCAAGTATGTATTATTGTTTTTGGAATATTTTGTATTTCTACAGCGATCGTTATTTTTCATCAGGAGCCGCTGTAAACAAACGATACAGTAAGTAACCCAATCACAACATCGAACTTGATAAATCTACGCCATGAGCCACTAAAACCACTTCTTTAATGTAAAATAGCAATTAATCGATTTAAAAATAATAATAAGTTCAACTATCATTTATCTTTCTGACAATGTGATTTTTATATCATTTATATGTTCAATATGATTGTTAGATACAATTTCATGCGACAAAAGATTAGATTCTTGATTTTTAGGCGCTAGTAGAACATACCTACGAGCTTTGCGCTTAAGGCATGCAAAATAAAAATCTGTAAGTATTCATTTATTCTTGACAACCATTTATTACTTTTAATTAGAATGAACTATTGAAGAACCACAGAAATCGTAATAATAAGACAACAATATTATTACGATTTATGTGTATTGAACTGATGAACCAACGAAAAAAAATTAAGTTAAGACTTCTGCTGAAAATGTTTACGAAGAAAACATAAAGAATCCAAAGTCTCGTCTGCCAGACTGCTTAGAATGTGCGACGCTAGGTAACTTGCAGCAGAGAAAGCCCTTTTGGCTTCTACACTTATGGGTGGAAAAGATTTGAGCGCATTATATATCAATGTCTAATGTACATTAAACCTCCCGATTCGATTATATTCCTATTTATAATTAAAAAATAAATAGCCTGCATTTATTTTTTAATTATGAACTCGGCGGAATTGACTCGGGACATTACAAAATCAACTAAAGAACTTTTAGCGCCCCAAAAATATGTCCCTGTCCCCCAAAAGTCTGTATTCTCATCAACATCGTCAGAAGAAACGCTTATGAAATGCATCCTCTTGACAACTACTGCTTATTTCCTTCCGTGGCACAATTTTCGATGGGAAGCTGAAGGTTTCGTCGTTTAGCAAGGCTTGTTGGTAGTACTTAAGTTAAGTACTACCAACTTACCAGCACTTTGGAGATAAATAAATAGAGCTGTCAAGTTGGTTTGTCGTAATGAAACAACCAACTCTGCCGCCAACGCCGATGTTAAACTAACTTCTTGTAATTTATTGATCATGAATTTTATATAACTTGTGCTGTAAATAAGACTGATATCTTGCCGACAAATAACCTCGACAGCAATGTTTACCGGTTTAAGTGTTTGTTCTAATTTTTACAATGTATCCAGTTCATACTACTAAAATCTCGCACACGTAATCCCGCTGCCTGCGAGACCAGAAAATGATTCGGGATCTCGGTATATACTGAGATTGGACGCCCTACACACAGTAAATTTGATTGAAGTGAATGTTGTGATCCATATACATCTATATCCTCGATTAAGAATCGAAATGCAGATGCATTGCCACCCCTGAAGATTAAGATTGGAATGTCGTTACCAGTAAAAAGGGTCTCCGGTCCTAGTGTAAGAGCGTCGTGATCTTCCTACCCTATTCGTGCTGCAGCTATAATATAGCTGCAGCTAGCGTTGCCAGATGTCCAGATAAAGCCGGACACAGTCAGGCTTTTTGGTAACGTGTCCGGCCAAATTAGAAGGTGTCCGGCATTTGTTAGGCTTTTTAAATTTGACCATGTTTTTACATTTTTCATATACTTACATACATACTATTGCAATTATCGAAATTAATATTGTAATGAATATTGAATAATTGATAATAAAGAAGACTAATTTATTCAATTGTTATTTCTTTAGAACTCAAGAAGATTTTACGGTAAGTGATAAAAAGCATTGTTTTACTTTTTACAAAAAATGTCTTTTACTAAGACAAAAATATTAAAAATAAAAAAGTAAGGGTGTCCGGCCTTTTTACCCAAATGTCCGCCTAAGCTCGCTGGTCAGTCCGGCTTTTCGGTTTTAAGACCTGGAAACCCTAGCTGCAACATAGCTCTCGGGTCTTTGTTGCTTCTGGAAGACTTTTTTATATAAGTAGGGGCAAACGAGCATGTGGAGTTCTCCTGTAGGTAAGTGTCCACCGCCGCTATGAACAACTACAACACCAGGGGAATTGCAGATGTGTTGTCGGCCTTTGAAGGAAGTTGACTGAATCTGGATAAGGTAACTTTGGTGCAGCTCACCTTGATGCCCATCTGCATCCAGGTGTCGTGCGCGTTCTGTATGTTGGGTCGCGCGCCGACCGGGTCGCTGGCGGACAGCAGGAAAAGCGCGGGCGCGCGGCACGGCGTGCAGTAGTACGTGTCCGAAGCGCGCCGGTACTGCGCCGTCACCGAGCTGAACACGCGCAGGTACAACCTGCGGGACGGAGTACAACCATATGACATAGCCCAACGGATCAGATGGCATACTCCTGACTGAATCCAGCTCTGAATCAATCAAATTTGGTCCAATTACAATGAACGGTGCGAATAACAACCACACCGACATAGCCCAACGGATCACCCGGCCTATTGCCGACAGAATCGAGGTCTGAATCAATCGAATTAGGCCCGATTTCGAGGGTTGGTATGATTAATAACCAACAAACATTACATTACAACAAAATTTAGCCCATAACGTAGCAAGGAAAATGACTTTTCTTTATAAGTTTATCCTATTTATGTAGGTAATAAAAATATTTAAGAAGTGAGTTTTCATTTATTTTAAATCATCTCCAGATGAAAAAATATTCGGATGTGCGAACAGCGCTGATAACACGTGATTGTAGCTCGATCCTGTTTTTCGATTCCAAGTGATTTGAAACCTCAGTTTGAATCGAAAACCGAATCAATTTCGGGAGTAAGCCTGCAGTACGCTGAAGTGGCAATGGGTCCGTCAATTATAGTCTGGTGGTTGTGCATATTATCTAATATTAAATATCACAACCAGGATTCAACATTACAGATTCTTAAACGTATTCCTTAGAAACCGGGAGTATTTGTAATGCTAGATTATTGCAAATATAGCACTGATATTTAGCAGTAGTAGTACAGTACAATATCTATGATGAGACATACTATACGATCTGTAGAATTGGGTATATACCTTATACCAGTTTTTTAAACGTGTGGGTGTGGCGTATGCGAACCCACAACCCCATTTTACCCTCTTGGGGGTAGTCGTAAGAAGCGACTATGGAAAATGCGAAAAAACTCTGACTTCGAACCGCATAACCATCTTGTCTACGTCAGTTTTAAAATTGCGAGAGCAACACAAGCAGCAGTATCAAAGGTGCAAGACATTCGTCACTGTGATCGTCAACTCGCTTGCCAAGCGAGACGATTAAAGCAAATCCTATTGGAAACGAAAGTTAGTCATTTCAGCAGTGGACTTTTATGAGACGATGATAGACAAAAGTTGAAAGTTAAAGTTACAGCCTATGTACGTCCCACAGCTGGGCATAGGTCTCCTCTCATTTCTGAGAGGGTTTAAGGGCAAGGAAATGTCCGCCGAGCTGCATCAATGCGTGTTTGCGAACTTCACAACATGTTTACGAAACATATTTTTTCTTATTTCCGGATATGCAGGTTTCCTCAAGATATTTTCCTTCACCGCCGAGCACGTGGTAAATCAGCACTTAAAATTGCAATTGGGATTTGAACCCGGGTTGCTCGCGTACTGTGAAATTTACAGCGAGTTCTTAGCCACTGAGCTACCACGGCACGATGAAGAAGGTGAATAGTAATACAACATAGCCCAACAGTAAGCTAAAGTGGCAATGAGCCAGCCATATAGTTCGACGAACTGGTAACCGATGGGTAAGAAAAGTTATTGAGTGACAGTTTATTTATGTAAGCGGAGACTAAGACGGCTCATGCAGGAAATCGATGGATACAGGTGGTCAGTGACTGTGTTTTTTTTAACATTAATAGAGTTATGATAAATAATATTAGTAACGAGCCGTGGTAGCTCGGATCTCGAGTTCGACCTCCACCGGCGCTAATGAAATTTTTTGTCACGCCTTCGGCGGAGAAGGAAAACGGCGTGAGATAAGATTTTTTTATGGGATAGAGTGACAAACCAACACACAGTCCACCTGATGGTAAGTGGTTGCTGCGGCCCATAGACATCTACATCTTTCCTCGATTACAGATGCGTTGTCACCTGTGAGGACTAAGATGAAATGCCTCGTTTCCAGTAAAAAGGGTCTCCGGTTCTCTACACACACCATACGAAACACAGCAGCATTAAGCTACTATTTTACTCTGGTATTCTGTGAAAGCGTGGTCCTTCACCGGTCGAGCTGATCCATTAGTGCTACTACTATACTACTAATACAACTGTAGCATGGCTCTACCACGTATAAAACTATTGGCTATTCTAAACTCTGAGCTAAATAGAATAACAGAAATATGCTTGCTAAATAATGTTTATTACTTACTCTAAGAAGGAATTCATGGCATTCCGTAAAAATTTGTTTTTAGGAAAGATGGCCGACGGTACCCCAACTGTGACAGCCGTGATGTCTGCTACCGAGTCCCATACTTGGGCTTCCACGCGTTCTAGCACGGGCATGTACCTGTGGGTATAGCATTCAAACTAGAATTGGAAAGTTCCTTGACATCATCGGTAATTATTACTATAAATAAGCGCCATCCCACTTCTCATGAACACAAGCGTCGTAAGAGGCGACTATGGAAAGTGCCAGAGATATCTAGCATCCGATAGATGGCAGTTTCACCACTTCGTTGACGTCAAATTTAAAATACCCCAATCGGCGGTAGGCCGCAGTGTCAAAGAAGCGAGAAGTTTGATGCTGCGATCGTCAATCCGCCTGCAGAGTGACACGACCTATGCCTCTATGAAGCCTATAACCTATGAAGAGGCACTTTGTCCAGCTGTGAGATTTTACGGGGTGACGATGATGATGACAAAAACAAGCTCATATATAAAATACTAATTTATATTAGTAATAGTTTATATTAGTAATAGTACGTAATTATAAATAATATAAAATAAAACCTAGTCAGAAAAGTATCTCACGCTCTGCTTATATTGCGTGCAATCTCGCCGTCACCACTAATCCCAACACCACTACGCTAGGATAGATACCACCGCCGATAATACGACGTGTTTCGCCTCTAAGCAAGGCATCATCTGAAGAAATAGACTGCGTTTATTTATTATGAATATATTATGATAATATGTAGATTGTAACAAGTAGGTATTAAGTACTATATATTATATTTTGAACTGATTATTATTAATATACGTCGGTGGTCTGAAAAGTTTCCGACCTAACAAAAATACAAGACATTTTTTCTTAAAATTTATTTTTATTTTCTACATAGTCTCCTTGTGAACTCTACACACTTCTCGCAGCGATACTCCCATCTCTCTAATCCGTCCAGGCGTTTTTCTCTGCTAAATAATTGTTCACGAAGGTGATTGCCTCGTCATTTGACGAAAATCTCTGTTCTCCGAACGCAATTTTTAGATGATGGAACAAAAAAAAGTCGTCGATTTTCGACATGGTAACTGCTGAGGCGTGAGACGGCGCATTGCCATGATGAAACAGGATTTTTTTATTTGGCAAATATGGCCTTTTTTCCCGCAATTTCTGCTTTCAGTTTATCAAGTAATGATGCGTAGTATGAGGTGTAATGGTATTTCCCTTTTGAAGATAATGGGTTAAGATGGAGTAGCCATGGAGTTCCATGTCTGCCACTATCCCACAAAACAGTCGCCATCACTTTCCCAGCCGGTACTCCCTTTGCAGTCCACTGTTTTGACTGTATTTTTGTTTCGGGCATGTAATGGTGTATTCCAGTTTCATTTAAAGTAATAAATTAGCGCCAAACTTGAATTTATTCCACCTAAACTGCGCCAACAGAGTGTTGGAAATGTTCATTCGAACACGTTTTTGGTCTAACGTGAATAAACACGGCACCCAAAGCGCTTTTTTTTTTTGCATGGGGAAAACGCATACCCGCCTTGCGGGGGGCAACGACGGGTTATGTCGGACTCGCACCGACTAAAACCCCATGGTGTTCCACCTTTGTCGCATATTGGCAGGGCTACGGGAACGCTTTCGCACACATCCGCGGCCCTACTAGCGCCTGCCGCCTCATGGCAGCACCTCCTCGGGAGAAGAAAATTCCTCCCCGTTCTCCTTCCCAGGTAAGGCGCACCAGAACACATGGCGCGCCTTCCTCCACGGCCTCCAATTACGTCTGTGCAACAGACGCCCCCGCGTCCGATGCACAAAGGCCATGGGGCCAGGAAGAACGAGCACTTAGAAGTACTAGCCTTCCCGATCCCAGCGGCGGATCTGGTCTATGGCTCCGCCGCCAACCAAGATTCGGCTGCGGAGGGTAGGGAGAGCGGCGCCTCGCAATACCGACAATCCTCTCCCCCCGCAGCCCCACCACCACCGCATCAACGGTGCGGCCCCGTTTGAGTCGCGAAGGATAGGGCGAGTGGCGCATCGCCATACCAACACTCCTCTTCCTCCGTGACTCCACCTCGGCTGCAGCGGTAGAGGGTGCGCGAGTCCCCACTCGCTGCAGTCCACCAGCACACATCCGAAGTGGGCCCCCCAAGCCCACTCGGAGTGGCCACCTCAGGCCGGCCCTTCACCTCGGGCCAGCCACGTGGGTTCCTCTTTGTTCACCGTGAGAGACCAAGCCACGGCTACTAAGCCCCCCGCCACGAAAAGGCGGGAACCCGTTCGGGGGGGCACCCAAAGCGCTGTCAAACACGTTTGGACATTTTCATAGCCTCTGCTATCTCTACCATTTTAATTCAGCGGTCATCTAGCACCATTTGGTGAACTGTAGCGATGTTATCGTCAGTAGTTGCAGTTTTTGGACGTGCCAAACGTTCATCGTGTCCAAAGCTCTCACGGCCACGTTTAAATTCAGCTGCACAAAATTTCACTGAGATAAATGATGGTGCAGAGTTCCCATACCATTGACATATATTACTAGCGTAAGGACCGGGCCGACCGCCCAACTAAATCAGACAAGTGGGCTGGTCCTAAAATGACAGTTTAGTAATGATTTTAAAAGAAAGGATACGCCCATCTAAATATTTTACTCATAACTTCTAAATACAAGAAAAAGTAGCGCATGTGTTTGTATTATAATACAAACGTCATAATAACACGACGTAACCAGAGTCGGATTTCGTAGTATAGATAATTATCCTATTTGTACCATTTGAAATAGTATGTAGTATGTAATATCGTAATAATACCTACTAAGCGAAAATACCATAATTTTACCTTAAGGTCGACCGACTTGTATTATTATTTCTTCCTTTTACTTTTTAATATTAACCCTACGATATCGAGAGTTTCTGTATTGTAAATGAGTACCGCGTTTTTTTTTATAAAATTAGCATTAGCTCCCTTTCTGGTCAATCGGAGCTTAATGGATGCATTTATGTTGCATCCTTAATACAAATATATTGACCATGTCTGTGATACTATGGTGATACCACGATAAAACTCTATGCTCCAGAAGCAATCGGTTTGAAAACAGAATTCCAAAATATTTTATGAATCAGATTTTCAGTTTCAATTCTCTGTCTACAAGAGGACGTGATAACAACCATGGAATATAGAGGTAAGGGAGACAATCTCCCATAGGAGAATATTTGAAAATGTGTCCATCTGTAAGCAGTAAATAACAGTTCAAAAACTCTCCACAACAGCGCTCGAGTAGCTACAGATCAATACAAATCGCCGTAAAATACGTTGAGAGTGGTTTTGAAAATAAAAATTTTGAAAGCATTAAAATAATTATTGAAAAAGAATTATGGTGAAAGTCCGTGCAATAAAAAAAATATAAAAATTTCTTTAAAATACAGTGGCGCCACCCTTATTTAACGCTTTCCTACGGACACTTTTTTATACGGAGTCTGTACTCCTTACACTCCATAATAACAACTACGCGTCTAAAATTATATAATGTACTCTGTGTCTAAAATGGCTGAAATTTTGGTGCGTAACTGTCAAAAAGTGCACAACTACATTTATAGCTTTTATCTTTTATTGATGAGTGCTGTCATATTCACGTTAAGTTTTGAAACTTTTCAGACCACCTTGATATAAATGAAACGTCATATTGACATCACAAAATTCTAAGAAAAAAAAAACATATAGACAACAGTTTTATTTATTAAGATTTTTCGTTTGAATGCTTGTCTTTAAGGGTACACTATCCACTCATTCTTCCATACAAACGAAGTCTGGCGATTACTCCACTGTTTGATGGTGTACGTTCAAAATAAAAAATGATTTCAATTTGTCTCATCATTCATCTAGCCCTGTATAGAAACAAAAAAGTAAAAAAAGAATATATTTAAAAGTACTAATTTTAATACATTTTTGGGCGGAAATAAATACCATAAGAAGAACGAAAATTGCAAAACAGTTACCATACAGGGATAGATTAGTTGTTTAAAAGTGCAAATAATTTTATTTTGAACAGATACATTCAATAGATTTTTCATGATATCCAGATTTCCATAGGTCTGTTTATAAAATTTCGCGCGCTCGTTTTTTTTTAAGCTATTGCATAGCTTCTATCGCGGGCCTTGAGTGCGGGAAAATACAGAAATTTCGTAACGAAAAAAACCTTACGCTCTCCGACGGTCACGGAGGTGTGGCTTGAAGGCCGTGCATTGTCTAACGATGGTCTAACGTCGATTCTTTTCCTCAGTCTTCGACACGGTGTTTGTGTATAAAGTGTTTTGAAATTTTGAATATGAATGAACAAAGTGCATTTATTATTAAGGCTGCTCTCTCGCAAAAAGCTTGAAAAAAGCGTGCAGATGAACCAACTTTTCGTCGACACTTACAGAGAAATTACATATGAAAAAAATAGCTAGTAATCTACATGATCTGATACGTAATTTGGTTTAGCCATAATTTTTCTATCGGTGTCACATAATAAATAAAAAAATACCCAAATCACCTCCAAATCGTTGAGATGAAACCACTTTACTCCTTCATTGTTTATCAAATGAATATAAAAAAAATATCTACTGCTTTGCAATACAAAATAAAATAATTTGGTTTGGTTACTTTTTAGAAATATGTATTATTTTTATGATAATAAATTAAAAATGCGTCCCGATTAAATACTGCGTCTATATCACCCCCGCATTCGTCCACGAATTCAGTGCGGGGCGCATCGTGTTGCTAGGTGGACGTACGCCGCGTTGCGAGAGCTCAGCACTACGAAATAAAATCGTAAAATATTACTGCAAAAATTTAATTTTGTTAATAGTGGAGTAGGTTTTTTCTGATTCTTGTTTAATAGTAGTGTTTCATAGTTATATTAATTGTACAGTTTTATTAATGTTTAAGTTTAGTTTGCAAAACATGGGGAATAAGCAGAAACGATTGAAGAGAGGTCTAATAAAATATTACAAACAAAAGGGTTAACAAAAGGGTAGGGGTCCTTTAAATAACCTGTTAAAATAACCCCGCAGGTTATTTTAACAGGTTATTTAAAGGAAATGTAGAATAAGTAACATACAATTCCTTATTGTTGACGGCGTAGACCAGCCCTTCCGACCACACGTATCCTCCCACCGAGAAGCCGTGCACCACAAATTTATTGCCGTTCTCTGCCATAAACCTGATCAGGTCGCGTGCAACTACCTGAAGAATACAAAGTAACACAATAAGAAACTAGATGTGGTTATAATATTTACATTAAAAACGCAAAACACTGACACTTTAACTTCACATTTTTTTATAAATTTGTTATATAATTTGACTGTTTCTTCGTCTTTATGGATATTTTTTTAAGGTTGTTAAAAGGGTATAGGTTCAAAAATTAAATATGAGCCAAGTACATGTTGGGATATTGGTAAAATAAAGTTCTAATGAGAAGTTTATCGTCATTTATATAAGCAGTATTTTTATAAGCATTTATCATATATACAATGTGTTAATTTTACACTTGATCAAACGAAATGTGCGGATACTAGATAAAAAATTATCGATAAAAAAATCGATTTTTTTTATGTAAACTATTTAAAAAATAAAAGCATTTTCATTTTTTTTTTTTGATAAAATTCCCATCCATCAGATTTTAAATTATTTTCTCTTTAAGTAAACGGTGTATTTTTTTTCAAAGTAGTTTTATTTGAAAATGAGAAAGATAAACTAGCAATAAAAATTAAAAAACCTACGATAACAAGCAGGAAATAAATAATTAAGATAATTAAAATAAATAAATAAATAAAATAATAAGATAATTTTTTAAAAAAAATACTTTTCTTTTTAATTTTTGGTCTGTAACTTCAAAACTAGTACGTCGATATTATGTTTTATTAAACTACATAGCTTACGCATGTTATTTTGGAGAACTTGTACTACCTATAAAACATCTTTGACTTGTACATTCTCCAAAATAACATGCGTTCTATCTCTTTTCGTTTTTAAAATGTATGTTGATTTGCGCTTAAGCGCCGCACCCACCTCTAATTTGAACACCCCTGGAAGAACTATAACAGGTAAAGATAAAAAGAGATAGATCAAGGAAAGGCGAAACAAGTGAGTGAGAGAGTGAATTGTCGTTTGAATGAGATTTGGGTCTCGTTTTCGTAAGGCATGCAGGCAGCTTTAGCTATTTTAAACAGTTCATATTGTAACGTTACCTAATTTGCACGTTGAATGCGCTCACCATTTTTTTGTCGCTATGCCTTCTACGATAGACTCATTGTCTGCTCGTGAAGTAGCTAACATTCATTACATTTACGGGTTTTGTGATGGCAACGCTCGCGCCACCTCTCGAGAGTATCATCAGCGATTCCCGACAAGACCTGCCGTTGACTACAGGGTTTTCTTAGCAGTACATCGAGAATTAAGTGAAAATGGACTGCATCGCCCACATCGTGAACGTGCTCCTACTGTACCGGTGGATGTGGATGAACAAGTGTTGCGTTTGGTGTACCAAGACCCCACAATTAGTACTCGACGAATAGCACTCCAATTGGGGATTAATCACGTCCAAGTGTGGAAAATTTTGAAAAAGGAATGTTTGTACCCCTTTCATTTTCGGAGAGTGCAGAATTTGCACGAGCCAGATTACGTCGGAAGAAGTGTTTTCTGTTCGTGGCTATTGCGGCAAAGATGATTAGTCCCGAACTTATGTGACCGTATTTTGTGGACCGATGAGGCAAATTTTAACAGAACTGGAATCACAAATTTTCGAAACCTTCACTTGTGGATGCCGGAGGAAAAAACCCCTTAGCTGTTCGGCCAGCGTCCTTTCAAATCGAATTTTCAATTACCTACTGTTTGGGCTGGAATGATAAGCGATTACTTAATCGGACATTTATTCTTCCGTCAAGGTTGACATTTCTACAAGAAGAGTTACCTGACCTGATGAGTGATGTGGATCTAGAAACAAGGAGAAGGATGTGGTTTCAGCATGGCGGCGCTCCAGCTCACTTCAGCACCATTGTGCGTGATTATTTAAACGAACGATACGGAGACAGATGGATTGGATGAGGCGGACCAGTAGCGTGGCCGGCAAGAAGCCCTAATATGACCCCCCTAGATTTTTTTTGTGAGGCCACATGAAACATATTGTGTACAGTACTCGAATTAGTACAAGAGAAGAATTGTTACAAAAAATAATGGCTGCGGCTAGTCAAATAAAAGAAAATCGTACTGTATTAAAAAAACAGTACGTAGTGTGGCATTACGTGCAACTGTATGTATGGATGAAAATGGTAGTCATTTTGAAAATTTAATAAATTAAATCATTTTTCTACGGTTCTTTTTTAGGGTTCCGTAGTCAACTAGGAACCCTTATAGTTTCGCCATGTCTGTCTGTCCGTCTGTCCGTCCTCGCTTAATCTCTGTGACCGTTAGTACTAGAAAGCTGAAATTTGGTATGGTTTTATTAGGGTAGCCCCCCTATATGTAAAGTGGGAAGTGATTTTTTTTTAATTTCAACCCTAACGTGTGATATATTGTTGGAAAGGTATTTAAAAAGGAATAGGGGTTTAATAAGATCATTTTTTGATAATATCAATAATTTCGGAAATAATCGCTCCAAAAGTAAAAACAATGTGTCCCCCCCCCTCTAACTTTTGAACCATAAGTTTAGAAAATATGAAAAAAATCTGAAAAGTAGAACTTTATAAGGACTTTCTAGGAAAATCATTTTGAACTTGGATGGAAAGTCGGAGCGCCTGCCGCGGAGCGTGCAATGTTGCACGCTCCATGTTCGCGCATGTACCGACTACCGGGAGCAGTTGCAGGAGCGCGGAGCGCTGCTGGATCGCGAACATAACGGATACCCACCTTTAAACTCCTAAGTGGGAACACTTATTGTGACGGATGGGAAACTACGGAACCCTATACTGAGCGTGGCCCGACACGCTCTTGGCCGGTTTTATTGTTTTATTCCAAAATTTGTCAATTAAATCATTATTAAATCACTTTTGAATTTTGTGCTCAGATTATACCTACCTTACTTTTAGTGATTATCTTAACAACGACACGAGATAGAACCCATGTTATTTTGGAGAACTTGTAGAGTTAATCATGAAGTTTAATAAAACATGCTGAAAAAGTTACCTCAATGTGCTAGTTTTGAAGTTACAGACCAAAAATAAAAAGAAAAGTATTTTTTAACAAAAAAAAATTATCCTGTTATTTTTTTGACAAACTTCCTGCTTGATATCGTAGGTTTTTTTAATTTTTATTATCTAGTTAATCTTTCTAACTTTCAAATAAAACTACTTTCAAAAAAATACACCGTTTAATTAAAGAGAAAATAATTTAAAACCAAAGGATGGGAATTTTACCAAAGAAAAATTAAAATGCTTTTATTTTTTAAATAGTTTACATTAAAAAATATTCGATTTTTTATCGATAATTTTTTATTAGGGTTCCGTAGTCAACTAGGAACCCTTATAAACTATAATGCGCCATGTCTGTCTGTCCGTCTGTCCGTCCTCGCTTAATCTCTGTGACCGTTAGCACTAGAAAGCTGAAATTTGGTACCAATATGTGTATCAAGCATGCTGACAAAGTGGTAAAATAAAAATTGGAAAAATGTTTTATTAGGGTAGCCCCCCTATATGTAAAGTGGGAAGTGATTTTTTTTTTAATTTCAACCCTAACGTGTGATATATTGTTGGAAAGGTATTTAAAAATGAATAGGGGTTTACTACAATCATTTTTTGATAATGTCAATAATTTCGGAAATAATCGCTCCAAAAGTAAAAAACAATGTGTCCCGCCCCCCTCTAACTTTTGAACCATAAGTTTAGAAAATATGAAAAAAAAATCTGAAAAGTAGAACTCTATAAGGACTTTCAGGGAAAATTATTTTGAACTTGGATGGAAACAACGGTGACGGACGGGAAACTACGGAACCCTACACTGAACGTGGCCCGACACGCTCTTGGCCGGTTTTCTAGTATCCGCACATTTCTTTTGATCAAGTGTACAATTAACACATTGTATAGTTTACGATAAAGTTTAAAAGCTACAAGCAACATCACCAATATTTAACACAAAGTTAAGTACAGATCGAATTTCGATCACCGTGATCAGTCTCAACAGAGATAAGCCATCTGCACAATACTGGATTAACTAGTGCCTGAGTGTGTACGCAAGCACAAGTTCATTTCTATTCTCTCATTCTCATATTCCGATGAGGCGGTATTACGACACGACCGGAGAGAGATCAGACGCAGGACCTTCGGCTACGAGAACCCGAGATTTGAACCCCGGATACCATGATTAGCAACCTCGTTTACGATCACTAGGCAGGCAGATACTCAAAGTTATACAATTTCTGTCTAAACGTAAATAATAACGTTTATACCAAGGAAAGACATTGTCTTCGTTATTGCCACGGAAATATTAAGTATAAATAATAATAAATACTTTTATGTGATATGAATAAATATTATATAAAAATATTTCATCCGTTTGTTGAGTTATTCACACAAATAATAGCAGTAGGATCAAACCTTTACTCCATTCGTGGGTCGCATGAGCTGCCAGGGAGTGCAGGACACGGAGATCACATCGAAACCCTGCTCCAGGTAAAGTGACGCGTACTTCATCACGTGCTTTGGCTTCGATAGCAACCAACTAAGCATTATGCACATTGGTCTGCTCAGAGGCTTGTTCAATCTGGAGTTAGAATAGTTTAATGAAAAAAAAAACAATAATAAAAAAACATACTATGGTAACGTATAGTTTTTTTGCTATGTTTTGGTTTGTTTTTTGAGTTTAGGTGTAGATCCCATCAGGTGGACTGCTTGTGTCGTTTATTACCCTTATTCTATAAAAAAAGTTCAATTTAGTGGTTAGGTTCAGATGCTGTTTGTGTTTAACCGCATGTGAAAACATACATTTTAGGAAAATACGTTCTAAGTATTTTTATCTTAGCAATCCTAAACAAAAACATAAATGAGCTTGTTCTAAACTGTATCTACTTTCAAATATTTTCATTGGTCGCCACCGGTACGAGGACACTCATTTAGGTTTATAATGGGTTTATACAAAACATTTCAAAGCTGTTTATTTTTAAAAACCTCCTGTTTTTTCCCTGTTATCATAAATACGCCTCACTCTAAGCACTGGCCACAGGCAGTGACCTTGTTACTAAAACAGACGACTTAATTATAAGCGAGCGACTTTTTTATAATAATATTTCTAAAATTAATGTTCATGAATCATAGTTCGTTCAACTAATGTTATCTCGAAGGCACAGCCATCTACTCATATTATGGCCATACCACAGTATTTATAAGTGTGGCTATACACACTGTTATCTCTCGTCTCTACCTGTCTCGCTCTAACTCACATGAAATGGCGTCATTAACTATTTCATCCAAAAACATTTCTGTCTTATTTGCACTTGTTGAATTCAATATTTAATAAATGAAAATGTATTGTTGTGTAGGTGCGGTGTTTTGATTTTAGGTCTTATTTTAGAAAATCAAATTAATTTAACGATTAAAAATGATACTAATACGTACTGATATTGTACCATTTTGAAATAGGGTAGTACAATTGTTTTTTTTTTTATTTAATTAAGTGTCAAAGTTAGGCGATCTTACTTTTTCAAGTACTTTTTAAAGAAACTACGTTAATTTTACCTAACTTAGCAGCACTGTTTTTTTAGCTTGATTTGTGACTGCGATTAATAGCACGTTTATTTAAGACAACGTTAGTGGAAAAATCACTGCAAAATTGAGAAATTTGTGGTCACACATGTCAACACGTGTAAACGCCGTACAGAATACGATCAATTCTAGCTACAACCTACAATGAATTTACGTCAGACCGTTTAGGCAACAAGTCGAAATAATAGGCACACTGGCCATAAAAAAGCCCTCCGTGAACGCCACCACCTGCCAGACCGCCGCATCTGCAGACATGATGGTAAGAGTGAGGCATCACCACCAGCACGACTTCTAAAGTCCAGTCGCGGAGCAGGAAGAATTTCGTACAATGACCTCTTTGCCTACTGACAGTGGTCACAAACATTTTTGTGTTAAGTGTGATTTATATGAAATATTTAAAGGATAAAAAAAATATTGTCCTATTAAATATATTATTGGTATAATATATATATATATATATATATATATATATATATATATATATATATATATATATATATATATATATATTTTAATTTTAGTATAAAACAGTAATAAAATCGAGTTAAAATTGCTAATTTGGCAGAAATTAAAAAAATAAAAATTCAAAAATAGTTACTGCTTTCCGATGACGTCCTATCACATTTATTACATAAGAACCAACAGTTTTGTCTACATAAAACTTAACAAATTAACAAAACCACTTAACAATTAAAAACAAGATAACAAAAACTAACAAATAACAACAAACTAAGAATAGATAACTGTGTTCGACTGTGGCTTGTTAAAAAAAAATTACTAAAAATTGTTAAATATGTCAAGCAACCCAAGGATTTTTGGTCGTGCCTCAAGACCAACAAAAACCACATGCAAACAAGAACAAAACTTACAGTCTCAGGTAAAAGGTTTACAATCCCTGAGGACGGCTGTCATTTTTTTTAAATATTAGTAATCCTATTAATTAACATTACTAATATTCCCTTTAACCACTCCTGGTAAGCTGAAAATGCTTGTGTTAGGGGTGGTTCACGACAGTAGTCGAATGGTGGATTCGAACCCGCGACCTTTTAAGGTCGCAGTCCGCGCCCTGCCACTAGGCTACTGTCGCTTCAAACTGTGTACTGCCACTAGGCTACTGTCATTGCAACTGTGCGAGCGACACGCTTTTTATTTACGCGGAAGTTACAGAGACAGGTAATAAAAGGTTAACGGACGAAATTCTCCCTTCTTCGCGTCCGGACTATAGCCGCAGAGCGTGTCATAAGTCTACCTCTCACTCCAAGGGAATGGGGTCCAACGTTGAGAGACTTTTGGCCGCAGCCTTGAGAGTCTCCTTCCTCCAGCTGCCACCCGCATGAGGTCGATACATATGCTCCACCAACCAATACAACGGCAGATATAGCCAAAAGACAGTTATAAAATAATAATAATGATTCGCCATCAGAAAGGGTTTGTGTCACTGACGTTAAGTATATAGAGTTTTTGATCATGTTTGTCTCACCAACCAACAAGTTGACCCTGAATCATTCAAAGGTGGGAAATTTACAGAGATATCATTTTATTGTTATTATATAAAACATCATAGAAGTCAGAGAGTCTGCAGCCCCATAATAAAGGGACCCGACACCCGACTTGGGCAAAACTACTAGACTAGACCCAAGACGCAGAGAGACAATGCTGCAGAACACAACAAGCATCAATACGACTATCGTCGAGCTTACAACATCCCGAGATCCCTCATATAATCCCAGCAGACATCACCAGCTGCATACCTCCATCGACAAGAACCACAAGATATGTGGAATCGGACGCACATACCCGCAGATCCATCACAAGATGCAATTCCGCAAGAAGCAGTAAGCATCAATGCAACTATCATACGGATGGCGCCCCCTCACAACACACCCACATGATTTCTATCGTCTTTGGCAACAAAATTGGTACTGTTGTCAACTAAAAAAAGCACCAACGTATACTCATAGTAGCACGCTACTAAGATTCTAGTTGTTAAAGTCCACTCAAGCCATGTCTTAGTGCTATTGCACTAAGACATGGCTTGAGTATGCTTTTTACACTTAAAAGTGCTACCAAACACACTCTCCCTAATCCCTAAAGACAGCCGACGCGGTGCGACCACACGAGTAAAGAAAAAGATATTATGGTTGGAATACAATCGCCAGACATTGGTGGGGTTGGTGTTGGTGGAACAGATGCTGGTGTTGGTGATGGTGTCAGTGGTGATGGAAGTGGTAGCATCGTAGGTAGTGGTGGTAAGCAGTGGACCAACAGTGGCTCCATCAACACCACCACCAAGACCACCACCATAAGCACCACTACCATCATCACCACTACCACCTCCACTGCCAACTACCACCATCACAGCCATTACTACCACTATTATTTATTCTGTGTTCTTACTTATTACTCTGTGACGCGACGTCCGACGCTATCAAACGCTATATGCTAAGACGCTGCCCACAACCGGTAGGGATGTGCGATGTCCACGGGCAATCGTGTTGCTGCAACAAACCCGCTTACCACCGGCACTAATGCCCCATTTACACTCAGCCACTGCTACTGCTCCTGTTGCTGCCGGAAATATTTCCCTTAAATAGTTCTGTGGCAATTACGACGCGAGTCGGTGTTTATACTCAGCCTTCATACTTCTTTATTGATCAACTCGCAACAATGACTGACGTAGAGTTTGTTGGTGTTACAGCATTATGTCTGCTCAGTATAAGTAGCTACTACGTGCAATTTATCTTTCTTATAATGAGGATCCCATATTACCCGCTCAACTTCACAAAGTTCTAAAAATTTAATTGTTTTATCATTACTAAATATCATTAAAACTCAGGACAGATTAATAAACGAATTGTCGTTTTTAAACGTAGCACGTTCTTTCTCGGTCGAACTTTGGCGGCGAGTGAGCGAGAATGTAAAGGGTGTTTCTCATTTTTCGTGCACATTACACGTCCAGGAGGAAAGTCTTCATTTTTTTTAATTAAATATCTACATTTCTTATAAAGGAAATCAAATGTAAAGTGGTTATGCTTATATGCATGTAATATTTACAGATAAAAATAACGTAATAAATTAATGATAAATAAAAAACTTCAATAATTCTCATTATCTTCGGTGTCCATTTACTACTCTCCTAAAAAAAATTGTATTTTTAAACAAAAATATAAACATTAAATATAAAAAATAACCATATTATGAAACTTTATTAAAAAACACAACGTTTACACTTAAAATAAATAACGATAACCCCACAATATAAAGAAATTTTATTTCATAAATGTTTATCAAAAAAATTTTCTGATTACCATCGGTTTTAGTGAAAATCTAAATTATAGTCCGCGTATTGGCGTGAATGTCACTATACCACCATGCCGCGCTCCGCACAAGTCTCAGCCAGCCAACAAACGTCGTAGAAGGTTCACGCCTGTTCTTGGAAAAAAAATATTTACGTGTAAAGTTGGAGCGCGGGAGGTGATTATTCTGAAATCGTCCTCTTTCCTCTCGTCCATATTATTATTAAGTGAGTATTAATGATTTTGTTTAATATGTAGTTAATTATCAATTCTAGTGATTACCGCCGTAATTTAAAGTAAGCACGAGATTCGTAATTTTGATATTTTTTACGAAACAATTAGATAAGAATAAAAACGTCATTACCTACGTCCTCACTACCTTCGTTTACCGTCGTTTTTTTAGCGATGGTGATGAGGTCAAAACGATGATAATTAGAATCAATTTTACGTCAATTTATTATAATTTATTACAGTGCATTATTACATTACAAACCGTGTGGTCGCGAGTTCTAGTCCAACCCGTAGTTGAGATTTTTTCCTCACAATAATACTACTACGATACAGTTATAATAATAGTTTAATTCATAGTAAAATAAAGAATTAATAGTTTTTAGTTTGTTTCTTGATGTAGCTTTAAGTTTGTTTACAAATAGTAAACTCACAAGCTAACCTTGTGAGTGTACTTTTTATTACTTTAGTTATTAAGGATGAGCTTGATATGATGAATACGAGCAATATCATATAATGTGTTGTTACAGATTATTAAGAACTAATAATGCCAAAGAAAGCCAGACAAACATTAGAGCAGAAACGAGAGTGCGATCGATTACAAAAACAAAGAAAGTATGCAGAAATTAAGGAAGATCCTAAAAAGTATGCAGATCTGAAGGCAAAAGAAAGAGCAAGATACCTTAAAAGAAAAGAACAGAAAAAAATAAGTAGCGCAAAAATATGACACCTAGACAAATGAGAGTTTAGAGGAAGAAGTGAAGAGTTAATTCAAAACGTCATTATGAAAGAAAAAAGAAAGATAAAGCTATTCAACAGTTGTTAATAGATAATTCTCCACCAAATAGTGACAATGAAGTACATCCAGCTGAACAAGATCCTCTCACTCAATCAGCTCTAAGCCTCATACCTAATTCATATCTAAATCGTTTGGATTACGGTAATAGTAATTCTTGTCAAGGGTGCCTAAAGAAAATATTCTTCAGACAAAGGTTCACTACCAACATAATAAAGAAATAGGCATTTTGAAACATGAAATAGAAAAAACGAAGAAACAGAAAGATGGCATTAGAAAAATGTTGTATAGAATAAAGAAAAATAAGAAGAAAAATGAAAATATATCGACTGAAAAAAAAGTAGAACAACTAGTAGAAAATGTTAATACACAAAAGCGTGAAGAAATTAAAGAGCGACTAATGTTTGGTGAAATACTTTCAAGAAGTGTTCGAGAAGGCTACAAGTGCTTGAGGAAAAAGGATAAGAAAGAATTCTCTAATGTGGTTATGACGGAAAAAGAAAAGTTTAAAAAATATAAACTCTTGACACAAACAAAAATATTTACAGTAAGAGATAAAAAAGAAATAAGACAGCTAAAAATGAAAACTTGAAAGAGCAACTAATTTTGGAGTCCTTTTGACGATGAGGAGATGACTAGAATTGTAGCTGATAAAAATATATATATATATAACTAAAAACCAAATAAGGAAGCAGAAAAGATACTTAACGGACACATTGACTAATTTGTACAAAAAATTTACGCATAATTCGAATGATAACGTATCAAAGATTTTGTAAATATCGCCCATTATGGGTTTTATACCCAAAGGAGTCCAGTAGATTTACGTGTGCTTGCAAAGTTCATATTAATGTCGATTTGTTGATAAAATGTCTTAATACAAATAAAATACTAAAACAATCGAACAGGACGGGTGTTTTAGAAAGCTTAAGTTGTAACGTCTACGATGAAAATCCCTCATCATCCCTATCCTTTAACTTAACTACTCAATATCATTTCCCATCCTTGACGTTCTCATTACCGTTTAATTACGATTTTTGATATGATAGTAATTTTATTGTTATCTATACAAGGAAGGTAGAAACCACAAAAAGTTGAAGGATTTTATGGATATTAAAGATATGGGGGGGAAAAACGAAGTTATTCGGCAATAAATTTGACATTTACAAATGTCGTGGAATTTGCACGAAATACGCGAAACACCCTAAACACTCACTCCCGTCCTTTGACTTTCACGCGGAAAACCGACAATCGAGGGAGAGCTGGGCAGTGGCAGCGGCATGGGCAGTGACAGCGCGAGTAACATATTTACATACATATACGCGCTGCCCACTTCCCTGCTCACTTACCTGCGCAACAAGGCTGAGTGTACATGGGACATAAGACGATATATCTAGGGCATATCGGTTAGCGAGGCCAAATTTACCTCGGTCTCGGACACTGTGAAGCAGTCTACACACCACTATAATAATTCTTTTCAAATCCAATTTCTATCAATATAACGCTTTTACATATTTGAGACCCTTCACATATTTGATTTTGATTTATATGTCTTTAATATACGGGACTTCAATCCACGACTCTAATGTTATAATGCTTATTATCTAAGAGTCTAGCATCTAAAAGACCTTCAAAAAAATTATATATTTTTGGTTTCATAGACTTTACTATCAAAGTCCCTAATATAGGCCTACATTGTGCTACAGTATTTTAGTAGACAGGCATCTGACCACCCCATATATATGTGTACAATTATTGGTATCCCGCAACTTCCGGTAACTCCCTTTTAATAAAAGCAATCATTACATGAACCCCTTCCATCAGTACAGGAACATGCTGCATCATTGCAAGACTCAATAATTTTTATACGTATTAACAATTATTTTATAAAGTAACAAATATAATCTTTATTATTATTATATAATCGATTTCTATTTCTATTATTTATTATATTTTGAATACCTATTTCAAGTTTAACAAATTTAATGATATTTAATAACTTTCACTCAAAATTAACTTTATGCTTATTAATGCATTTTAATTGTTTAAAATATTACTTTTAATATATTTCAGACGGCTTATATAGAAATTAATTATTAACAATAATCATGCACATTCACAATAATATGATGTAACCACGCATTATAAAAACTTGTTTTATATTCCGTGAACGCCGCTGTGGGAGTGATTAAGAAGTTCCTTGTATGTAGTATGTAGCTAATACACGGCAATGCACTTAGGCAGTACTTTCATCACAGTATTTTTAATTGCTTGCTTATTTATACTCTAAGTTATTGCCTGATTCTGTTAATTAATACAAAAAGCAAAGTATGTACTCACTTCATGGTTTTAGGGTCGACGGACAGTTTAATTTTATCGTTGCTTATGTGCTTTATGTTTCTGGTAATATCCTGTGTGTGAGCTCCTCGTTTGAATCCCAGGCTTGGCAGTGGAGCGGGAATCACCAATGACCGCTTAAAAGGCGAAATTGCGTACTAGAAAGAAAGAAGAGAAGATGAAGTTGTCATGATATAATAAATTTGTGGGTGGCCGTGATAGGAAAAGGGGAGATCTCGCGCCGGGCAAGGTGTTCAGCCCGGGGAGCGGCCAACACTCCGTGTGATAGTTCGGAGATGTTCTATATATTATACTGTTTATGATACGGAGTTTTGATAGCGTGATATAGGCTTCGGTGTGTTTCGCTTGCGGCGCGACGACAGCGCCGCCACAAATTCAACGAATCGCATGACACGATATTACTTTCTTTGATATAATATATATCATAAGATAACAGTAGTTTTTATAATACTGAAGTGAAAAACGAAATTAAGTTGGGTCCACGTTAGACGAGCCGAGCACAAATTCGTGCAGTGTGTACCGATTTACAAGCCTCGAACTTGTTGTGTATTATATTTTTATACACTTTTGGGAAGGAGAAAATATAAATAAAATATTTATTTAAACAATTAATTGCTAGAATATAAGTACAATAGTGATATAAATGACAGATGGGTGTCAGGCGAGACATGGAAACAAGTCAGGAGATGGGTGTCTTCCTAATAGCAACTGGAAAATAAATGACAGCGGTTGCCAAACTGCATGCCGAGTATACCTAGTAAATATGGAAAGATATCGTCCTTATGAGGCAGTATATGTAGGCCTATGTTCAGCATTTAATCTTGATGATGTAACGAAGTTAAATAGATACTAATTACTAATAATGATATTAATAAGTTATAATATTTATTTACCATGTAGTAGCAGTGTATCTATATCCATATATGTATATCCACTAACCCATGTCCTCCTTTGGATATCGTAAGATCCGACAGAAACAGAAACAGGAGATGAGCTGTAGCATCTTCCTGATAAAAACTCAAAATTATAAAAAAAACTGCGGTTGCCAATGTACCTACCAAGCGTGGGAGCTATTCCAAAATCCCCACTGTGAGATAATCTAAGGGAGGGCCTATGTTTAGGCTTAAGGCTGTATTAGTAATACAAAACTGTATAAAGATTTATGATTTACAAGTTAACTAGATTTCCGCCACGAGGATCTTGAAATAAATAAAAATTAGGTCAACTCAGCCTAACATCTTTCTGCTATCAACGTTTGTGATGTTCCCTTTTGATGCTAAGATGATCAGGCTACTGGTATACAGCACATCCCAGAACATACAGTATGAAATAGACTGTGAGAGAAGCAGTCTCTTTCGTCAAGTAAATACCGACCATTTTCAATGACTGCCCTTGGGATTTATTGATCCAATCCAATGTCTATTCTATATAAAAAAATGTGTGTCCAAATTTTTGCAAGCATTGAAGAAATTAAAATCTTTCTTTTATAAATAAATAGTTTAAAAGCGTTTACTTACTTCCTTTAGATTCAGTCCTGATCTGCCGCAGAAAACCGTAAAGGAAATAGCTTTCCTCAGTTCCCCCATCTTGAATTAGTTTTTCTGGAAGTACGAACATTTAATATTATTATTTTTTAAGATAAAGGTTAAGGTAATTTTTGTGTGTTGAATTATCGATTAAGTTTTGCAGTGTCGTTGATTTAACGAAAACAAAGATTAAAACTAAACCATTGTATGTTTTAAAAGCGTTAACATAATTTTAATAATAATATAATACATTAATAAATAGTTTTCATTTTGTCAAAGTTTTAAATTGAACTTGCGACAGTATAAGTAAAGTTTAGATAGTAACAGTCTAACAGCACATTAGTAAAGAAACCGACCAGCGCGACGGTTTCTTTACTCATTGTAATAGCACAGAATAAATAATACCAGTAATAGGTAGTTGCTAATGTAAAAGTTTTTAAATTTTTTATAGTAAGAATTTTTTATTTCTGTAGGCTATATCAGCAGACAGTTTGCAAGCTTGCGCGTGTTTAACTTAAAACTATAGGTAGGTCACGGTTTTATTTCAATAGGTAGAGTAAGTAGTTCCAGGGTTAGCTAGAGTTCACTGTATCATGATGTAATGCTGTCACCGCTTTTATAGGTATAAATGCAGGAAAATACGAAAGACTTGTGTATTAGAGAAAGTAACTACCAAAGATGTCATTACAGCGATCAGCTTCTTCACTTAGAAGAAAACTTGTCCAGCTGTGGACTGCCGCAGGCTGATGAAGAAGACGATAACGAAATAGATAAATTAATAGAAATTTCAGAATGTTACAAAATATTCTTTAACAATATTTTGTAACATTAAAAATAGGTAATATGAAATATTACAAAATTTGTAACATTAAAAATAATAAGAAATGTTACAAAATTGGTAGCATTAAAAATAACTTAAAAATGAATATGAAATGTTACAATATATTGTCTCAGACACATAAAATAATTATTTATTGGTCTGAGACATGCAAGTGGTCTCGTAGAACCACTCCCATAACCTGTTTAATCTGTATACACAGTTATGGAGTTAAGACTGGCGCATTACGACATGAATGACAGTACCATAATAGAATACATAATAAAGTACAAATTGTTTTTAGTTAAAAAAAATCAAAAAATTTCGTTATACATGCATAGCTTATCTGAAAAGCATAACATTTATTGCAGTCGCTTTATTTATTGTTATCCCGTAAGTCGGACAAAGAAAAAACATTTTCATTTGAGGAAAATGGTAATCAAGAATCGTGGTAGCTCTGGGGAGTCACGGGCTAAGCACATGCTGTAAATTTCCACCAATTATGGACGCCACACACGGTCAGTCCAACTGATCATTTTAACTGATCAGTTCAAACTAAAACTGTTGATATTTTTTTAAAATTATTATTGGATTTTCAATTTATCGATAAATAAACTTATAGATAAAACTCCGATATTGGTATATTTATAATTATCGAAATATCGAAAATTCAATATTTAAAAAAATATCAACAGTTTCAGTTGGAATGATCAGTTGAACTGACCGTGTGTGGCGTCCATTACTTATATTGCTATAGTTACAGTACGCGCGCAACCCGAGCCCGAGTTCGATCCCCGCCGCACCAATGAAACTGCTAACTGCAATTTAAAATGCTAATTAACATGCTCGGCGATAAAGGAAAACATTGTGAGCATAATATTATGTGTGGAACAAAATATTTCGACGACATGATATGAAGTCCGCCTATGGACTAATAGATACATTTGCTTATTTTTGAAAAGATGAAGCATCTTTTCTCAGATATGAAACATCATCTTCATCTCAGATATGAAAAGAGTATATGGTTACCAAGAATAAGTGGCCTGTGCCAGCCCTGTTGAACGTATGTCGGCTGCTAATTTACTATACTTTTTATGATAATGATCATGTTTTCACTCTTTCATCCTAAACTTAGTTAATGTGTACTGTGCTAACGCCTACGTATGACCTGAGATTGACTTAGACACTTGAAGAGTATATACCAGCTATATTATGGTTGTGGCATGAATGGGGCGGCTCGACCGGGGTAAGACCACGCTCTCATAGAATACCAGCCTAAATTTTGCAACCTAATGCCGCTGTGTTTCATATCTATGCTAAGTGTTTAGAACTGATGACCCTTTTTAGTGGAAACGAGCCATTCCACCTTAGTTCTTAGGGGTAACAACGCACCTGTACTTTGATTCTTAATTGAGTATATATGTAGATCTCTACTGGCCTCATCTACTTTTACTACAATTCTATAAAAAAATCACTAACTTTACATCCACTGTTCAGAGACACGTTAAATATTACAACATGCCCAGGCACTTAATCTAACAATTCCAATGTTTTTTAAAAAGTTAAGCTCTGATTGGGAAGTAGCATAGTAGATTAGCACACGCGACTGGGTCACCCGGTCGAATACAAAATAAAAGAAATGCATTATTCTATGTAAAGAGATGTTAATTTGTAACTTACAGTCTAAACTTTAAAAGTGTATTTACTTGGTAGAGCCAATGAATCTATATTATAGCACGAACGGGTCGGGTCCAACCAGGGATGTACCACGCTCTTACAGAGTAGCGTAGGTACTATACGAAACTGTGCGTGCGTGCGTGCGTTCGGGCGCACGCGCGTGTGTGTGTGTGTGTGTGTGTGTGTGTGTGTGTGCGCGTGTGCGTGTGCGTATGCGTATGCGCGTGCGCGTGTGCGCGTATGCGCGTGTGCGTGTGCGTATGCGTATGCGTGTGCGTGTGCGTGTGCGCGCGCGTTCATAATGTGTGTGGGATTGAAAACTATATAAGCACATTTTTGAATAATTATAATCTACCTTTTTATAATTTAAAAAAAATGTCAACAAAACCAAAAAGAGTTCACAGTTCAGTTCTGATTCGATCTGACCTGCTGCTACAGGGGATGGAACTTTTTATTCCATCATCTCTGGTACCTATTGGAGGCAGAACCCAGCCTTGGTTTGGTCGCTCCTGCAAAATTGCACTAAGTCATAAGCAAGAGTGCTACCAGGCCTGGGCTCGCGCATCAACGTCTCGGGATGCAAATACCAGTGCTCTTAAATAGACGTACAATTCTGACTCTGACTTCTGACTCTTGATGACGGGAGGAACACACCGCCGACCATCCCGCGGAGTGAGTGCTCCTTGCGGGATGTCCTGTTAACGTTCCGTGCACAAAGCACTTTTCTCCCTGGACGTCAACAAGTCGAGTGGGCCTGATGGCGTCCCTCCTATTGTGCTGAAGACTTGTGCTCCGGAGATAGAACCGGTTTCAACGCGTCTTTTCTGGTACTCCTACTGCCTTGGCGTACGAAATCATGGAAGACACAATCCCTAAAAAAGCTAACCGCTCTGATACGTCCAACTATAGGCCTATCGCCATCATCTCCTCGTTCTCTAAAATAAAGGAATCCATTATTAATAGCCAGCTCATGAGGTACCTTGAGGATCACCAGCTGATTAGTGACCGCCAGTACGGTTTCCGTCGCGGTCACTCGGCTGGTGATCTTCTGGGTTACCTAACTCATAAATGGGCGGAGGCAGTAGAGTCCAAGGGGGAGGCGTTGGCCGTTAGTTTGGACATAGCGAAGGCCTTCGATCGGGTTTGGCACAAAGCGCTTTTTACGAAGCTTCCTTCCTTTGGGCTTCCCGAGAAGTTTTGCAGTTGGATCACCAGTTTTCTTGCTGATTGGAACATCAAGGTCGTTGTAGACGGTGCATGTTCCGATTACAAGTCCATTAACGCTGGTATTCCACAAGGCTACGTGCTATTACCAACGTTGCTTCTTCTGCATATCAATGACACGTTGCTTACAGGTAACATTCATTGCTATGCATACGACAGCAATGGTGATACTTTATACACCGGCCGTGCCAATATTTCTCGGGAAAACGTCGTAGTTACCGGGACAAACTTGTGTCTGAAGTCGAAAGTTTTTTTTAACAAAGTTTCGGACTGGGGGCGACTAAATCTAGTCCAGTTTAATCCCCAGAAGACATATGTTTGCGCGTTTACCGCGAAAAAAACCCTTTACCGTATCTCCTAACTTTCAAGACACTCCTCTTTTTGCCTCAGCCAGTATCCGAATGCTTGGCGTCGACATATCGAGCGACGTGCAGTTTCGTGGTCACTTGGAAGAGAAGGCCAAATTGGCCTTTAAGAAGCTTGGCATGCTCAGCAGAGCAGACCAGTATTTCATGCCGACTCACCGCCTGCAACTTTACAAGACGCAGGTTCGGCCGCACATGAAATACCTACTGTTCCCATCTCTGGGCCGGGGCTCCTCAGTACCAGCTCTTTCCATTTGATCGTATCCAGCGCAGAGTTGTTCGAATCGTCGGCGACCGAAGTCCTCCCGATCGGCTTGACTCTCTGGCACTGCGAAGAGATGTTGCATCTCTTTGCGTATTTTATCGCGTCTACTACGGGGAGTGCTCGGAGGAATAGTTCGGACTAATTCCAGCCGCACAATTTCACCATCGCAAATCGCGACAAAACTCGCGATACCATTCATACCGTCTGGATGACAGGCGGTCCACCACCGTGCAATTTAAAAGAAGTTTCCTTCCTCGTACAACTTCCTTGTGGAATCGACTACCACCAGAGATTTTTTCCGGACCGATTCGACTTAGGGACCTTCAAGAAAAGACCCTTCACCTTTTTAAAAGGCCGGCAACGCATCTGCAATGCCCCTGGTGTTGCAGTTGTTCTTGGGCGGCGGTAATCACTTACGATCAGGTGAGCCGTATGCTCATTTGCCCACTCTCCTATAAAAAAAGTCCTCAGATGTAAAAACGCATCTGGGGCCTTCTTAGGCCGAAATTAGCTGCTGCTGTCAATGGCTGCAGTAGCCAGCTACCATCAGGAGGCCTCTAAGTTCGTTTGACACTACGGTTTTATAAAAAAGAATCTTTTGAGTGAGCGAGACGTACGAAGAAAATATCATGATTTATATTTATTTTGGTATGACAAAAATTGTAATTTTGTTAGATTTAAATTTAGACCAATAAAGATAAGTTACATTATA